TAATGAAACAGGGCATTGCTGTGTCACCCAGGCTGGAATGCAGTGGCATAATCATGGTTCACTGCAGCCTCAACCTCCTGGGCTCAAGGGATCCTCCCACCTCAGCCTCCCAAGTAACTGGGATTACATGCCCATGCTACCACACCCAGCTAATGTTTTTGATTTTTTGCAGAGACAAGATTTGGCTATGTTGCCCAGATTGGTCTCCAACTCCTGGCCTCAAGCAATCCTCTTATCTTAGTCTCCTAAAGTGCTGGGATTACAGGTGTGAGCCACTGCACCTGGCCTCTTCCTTATTCTGTTTTGTTACCATCTCACTAGCATTAAACAGTTAAAATAAGATTTTTTAAAATTAAAAAAAATACATACCCTGTAAAATTCAAAATCTGTTGACTATACACAGATTCTGCATTACTTTGGAAGATGCACATTGAGAAATCCCTTAAAAAGAAGATGTGGAATCACTCATATTTTGTTTATTTTTGTTTGTTAGTTTTTCTTTTTTTTTTTTTTCTTAATTTTTGAGACAGGATCTTGCTACGTTGCCCAGGTCTCGAACTTCTGAGCTCAAGCAATCTCCCCACCTTAGCCTCCTGAGTAGCTGAGATTATAAATGTGAGCTCCTGTGCTGTCAGTTGTTTATTTTTGAATAGATTAAATATGCATATGATATGTAATTCAAGGCCAGGCGTGGTGGCTCATGCCTGTGATCCAAGCACTTTGGAGGCCAAGGCGGGCTGATCACCTGAGGTCGGGAGTTCAAGACCAGCCTGACCAACATGGTGAAACCCCGTCTTAAAATAAATAAATAAATAAATGAGTGATATGTAATTCAAAAAGTTTAAAAGAAAAATGGTTAAAATTATAAATTTTGTTATTCATGTTTTATCACAATAACAAATAAGCGAGGTATGGTGTCTCATGCCTGTGATTCTAGCTACTGGGACGCTGAGGCAGGAGGATCACTTGAACCCAGGGATTCGAGACCAGTCTCCTATCCTGACACTCCAGGTGTCCAGTTTCCCACAAAAGATGAAGCCACTGTACCGTTTCTTGTGTATCCTTCCAGAGATAGTCTCTGGCTATCCAAGCACAGACATGTGTGTGTTTTCTAATAAAGAGGTGCTGTGAAACTACCATGGCATGCATTTACCTATGTAACAAAGCTGCACATCCTGCACATGTAACTTTGAACTTAAAACAGAAGTTGAAGAGAAAAATTATTATTTTTTGAGATGGAGTTTTACTCTTATTACCCAGGCTGGTGTGCATTGGCACGGTCTTGGCTTACCGCAACATCCGCCTCCCGGGTTCAAGCAATTCTTCTGCCTCAGCCTCCTGAGTAGCTGGGATTACAGGCATGCAACACCACGACTAGCTAATTTTGTATTTTTAGTAGAGACAGGGTTTCTCCATGTTGGTCAGGCTGATCTTGAACTCCTAACCTCAGGTGATCCGCTCTCCTCAGCCTCCCAAAGTGTTGAGATTACAGGAGTGAGCCGCTTTGCCCAGCTATTTTTTTTTTTTAAAGAGGTTGCTGTGACATAGCATGAAAGGTCTTCAGCAACTTGTCTAATAAATAGTAGTGGGTTCTCATTTTTGCTTCTGTAGATAGTACTTCTGCATGATGCAGCCTCTTCAGAGAAAGATCAGTACTATTTTTGGGAGAAAAACGTTGGTTTGAAATTGTTATCACATCTTTTTTTGTTTGTTTGTTTGTTTTTTGAGATGGAGTTTTGCTCTTGTTGTCCAGGCTGGAGTGCAATGGCACAATCTTGGCTCACTGCAACCTCCGCCTCCCAGGTTCAAGCGATTCTCCTATCTCAGCCTCCCGAGTAGCTGTGATTACAAGCGCCTACAACCATGCCTGGCTAATTTTTCTTGTTGTTGTTGTTGTTGTTGTTGTTTTGTTTTGAGACGGAGTCTTGCTTTGTTGCCCACACTGGAGTGCCATGGTGGGATCTCAGCTCACTGCAACTTCCGCCTCCCGGATTCAAGCAATTCTGCTTTAGCTCCTGAGTAGCTGAGATTACAGGCACGTACCACCACGCCCGGCTAATTTTTTTGTATATTTAGTAGAGATGGGGTTTCACCATGTTGGCCAGGCTGACTTCAAACTCCTTACCTCAGTTGATCTGCTCATCTTAACCTCCTAAAGTTCTGGGATTCCAGGCATGAGCCACCATACCTGTCCTCATGTCTTATTAATATTGATTCTACCATAGGTTTTGTTATGTAGCCACCAAAAATAATATTTATGATGTCTATAAAATGACAGGGAAAAGCGGAGGTTACCTGTTGTTAACTGGAAAAGTTAATATACGAAATTATACAGTATAGCCATAAAATGCTAATGAAAGGATTGTCCCAAAAATGGTCAATGCTTATTAGGTTAAACTGGTCCAATGAGATGACAGGGCATAATTTCACACCCCAGGAGACAGTTGCCATGTCTGGGGACATTTTTGATTGTCTTAACTGGTGTGGGGAGCGTGCTGCTGGCATGTAGTGGGTCGAGGCAGGGATGTTGCTAAACCTTCTACAATGTACAGGATAGTCTCCTTCAGCAGGGAATTAATCCAGCCAAGGCCTTGCCAAGATAGAGAAACCCTGCTTGAAAGTACAGCATCAAAGCAAAGAGTCTGACTCATGCCCACTACCTCGTGCTGTTCTTCCCTTGGCTTCAGTGGGATTTTTGTAGTGGCACAGAGAAATAAATTATAGGTCTCGAGTTAGCTACAGAAAAGAGCAAAGCTGAGTTCTTCAAGCCTCTAGAGTAGAATCACCCAAACCTAATATTTAATCTCTTCCTCTTTCTATTGAGGACTTTCCCACAACAAGTAACGATCTGACCAAAAAAGAGTAGTCCTGAAATTGAGAAACCCTCTGTTAAAGTGATATTTCCTTATTTTTCAGACTTTTAATAATATTTTATAACTAGAAAAATAAAGTCTTCATTTTTAATCTACGAGGGAGTAGCCTTTGAGGGAGAGGTATAAAGAGAGTTTTAGGCTGGGCGTGCTGGCCCATGCCATAATCCCAGCACTTTGGGAGGCTGAGGCGGGCAGATCGTTTGAGGTCAGGGGTTCAAGATTAGTTTAGCCAACATGGTGAAACCCATCTCTACGGAAAATACAAAAAATTAGCTGGCTGTGGGGGCATGCACCTATAATCCCAGCTACTCAGGAGGCTGAAGCAAGAGAATCGCTTAAGGAGGCAGAGGTTGCAGTGAGCTGAGATTGCACCGTTGCACTCCAGCCTGGGTGGAGAGTGAGACTCCATCTCGAAAAAAAAAAAAGAGTTTTAAAAAATAATGACCCAGTCATAAAAAGAATGAAGTCATGTCCTGGCCAGGCGCAGGCTCACGCCTGTAATCCCAGCACTTTGGGAGGTTGAAATGGGCAGATCACGAGGTCAAGAGATAGAGACCATCCTGGCCAACATGGTGAAACCCCATCTATGCAAAAAATACAAAAATTAGCTGGGCATAGTGGCATGTGCCTGTAATCCCAGCTACTGAGGCAGGACAGTCACTTTAATCTGGGAGGAGTAAGTTTTGGTGAGCCAAGATCATGCCTTTGCACTCCAGCCTGGGTGACAGAATGAGACTCCATCTCAAAAACAAACAAGAATGAAATCATGTCCTTTGCAGCAACATAGATGCTGCTAGAGGCCATTATCCTAAGTGAGTTAACGAAGGAACAGAAAATCAAATAGCACACGTTCTCATTTGTAAGTGGGAACTAAGCACTGGCTACTCATGGACATAAAGAGCAAAAATAGAAACTAGGATAGGCCAGGTGCGGTAGCTCACACCTGTAATCACAACACTTTGAGTAGGATGAGACTGGAGGACCACTTGAGCTCAGGAGTTTGAGATGAGCCTAGGCAACATAGTGAGACCTCGTCTCTACTAAAAATAACAAAAATTAGCTGGGTGTGGTGATACGTGCCTGTAGCCCCAGCTACTTGGGTGGCTGAAGCGAAAGGATCATGTGAGACTGGGAGTTGGAGGGTGTACGAGCTGTGTTTGTATCACTGCACTCCAGCCTGGACAACAAAGTGAAATCCTGCCTTTAAAATGAATGAATGAATGAATGAATAGATGAAAACACCTGGGAACTCTACTGGGCAGAGGTGGAGTGGGGAGGAGGGCAGAGGTTGAAAAACTACCCATCAGGCGCTATGCTGGGTGATGGGATCAGTGGTACCCCAAGCCTCAGCATCACACAATATACCCAGGTGACAAACCTAGACATGTACCCCTGAATCTAAAATAATAGTTGAAATTATAGGGCTGGGTGCAGTGGCTCACGCTTGTAATCCCACCACTTTGGGAGGCCGAGGCGGGCGGATCACCTGAGGTCAGAAGTTTGAGACCAGCCTGGCCAACATGGTGAAATCCCATTTCTATGAAAAATAAAGTCATCATGGTGGCACGAGCCTGTAATTCCAGCTACTCAGGAGGCTGAGGCAGGAGAATCGCTTGAACATGGGAGGCGGGGGTTGCAGTGAACCGAGATTGCACCATTGCATTCCAGTTTAGGCAACAAGAGCGAAACTACGTCTCAAAAAAAAAAATAGTTGATGGCCGGGCGCGGTGGCTCACGCCTGTAATCCCAGCACTTTGGGAGGCCGAGGCGGGTGGATCACGAGGTCAAGAGATCGAGACCATCCTGGTCAACACGGTGAAAC